CATCTTCATCCCTGAAAGTGACTGCTGGCCTGCAGATGAGTGTAAACTGCCGAGTCTTGGCCTGAAGATGTTGCTCTTCTGTGCTGGGCCAAAGAGCAACATCATCAGGCCAGGAGAACTCTGTGGTTTACACTCATCTGCAGGCCAGCAGTCACTTTCAGGGATGAAGATGTGCTCATCCTTGATAGAGAGAAGTGTTGGTTTGAGAGAGGAGTAAAGGAAGCCATCTTTGTGATGAGAACTCATCCATCATTAAACAGGGACAGAGGCCTCTGTGTCCAACTGTAGCCCTCTTACAATGCTGTTATTGCTGGTATCTCTCAGCCCCCTGTGAATAGCAAACAGCCTAGAGCACTAACGATCCATTGTTAGGCTGATGATGGTCCTCCTTTATCATGTTAACAGCTAGTTCTGGATGTCAGCAACAAACTGGTTGATCCACTATGAAAAGAGACTATTTGAAACTAAGTTTGTTGCAGCTTCTCAAACTGACAGTCTTTTGGATTAAAGACTAAACGTTTCAACAAGTTTTTTTTTTTTTAATCTGTCCAGAGGACCTGACTTAACTTTTTTAGAATTTCTACCTGGATTATTGAGGATATTTTGTGTATACCCTTCATTACTCCAATAAATTATCTGAATATTAAAATCCTTGTATTACAATATTTTATTTAAACTTTATTTTACCAGGTAAAGTTCCGTTGAGATTAAGAACTTTTTTTTTGTTATATGAATAGCCAATACATATAAATAGTCAATAAGTGAAAATGAATAGATGGGAAATTATGGATGGCTTTTTAGACGTGTGCAAACAACATGCATTCAAAGTGCGCTCAATTGAACTCAGTCTTGGTGGTTTGCGTTAATCAGGTGGTGGTGGCCTGGGATGGTATCAAAATTCCCGGCCTGGATTATTGTCCCAGTCCGCCCCTGCCCAGGACGAAAGCTTCATCTATCGCACCCCCCCCGAGAACTTTCTGTGCAAGCTTATCAGAACTGCTGGCTGGAAAAACATCTTCAGAAACTGTGGCTGATCTGAAAAAAACGCTCATGGACAAATCTCAACACCTTGATGTCAAATGCAAATGTAATCATGTTTTAATTGAGCTGCTGGTAGAGTTTTTTGATGTCTCAAATCGTGTCCTGATAGACAAGATGTAAAAGATCTTTTATTGTAATACCACTATCTACCCTCATGTTTCTCCCCCTGTTCCTATCTAAGATTATTATCTGATAAGGATAAAATGGCCGCGCTTTCTACAGTTGCAGCTTCGTGCACTCCGCCCATCTTTCGGACGACTGTACGTACATATTCGCGTTGTACCTCGGTGCAATTCCAATAAAGTTTATTCTGATTCTGATTCCTCCAAAAACTCCAGCAGCTCATCTCCTCAGTTTCTGGGCATTTACAGACTATTGTCTGAAGAAGAAGAGAGGATTCTTCATGAACAATTTTTTTCCAACAAATTCAACATTACCTTATCTTTTCTTACAATAGGTGCAATTTCTTAGTTTAAACATTTAAAATGTTTACGGTGGTCCACTGTATAAAAAAGATGTGTTTGTGAGATTAGAAAATAATTGCGTTCTGTTTTTATTTACATTTTACTCTATGGCCCAACATTTTAAAATTTGTGGTTGTAGCTGGAGGTGCTGCATAGGAGGAGCTGAGTTGGAGATGACGTTGGGTTTTCATCTACTCTGCATGTCCCAACCAGCCACAGCTGACCTGCTGTTCATCATTTTATCAATTAACATAGTTTTGTAAGGAGTTCTTGTAGGAGTGAGCTGCCATTTTAGTTAAGAGCTTTTTCTCCTGGTTTTGTTAGTTTAGGTCAGGTAAGAGACCTGTATGTTGGTTACTTTTGATTTGTTAGGTAAGTGACAAAAATAAAATAAAAGCCTTTTGCTGGTTGTAACATCCCTGAACCAACAACGCCACACCTGCCTCCACCCTCATTTACCCCACTCTGAGCCCTTGAGCAAGGCCCTTAACCCCCACCGCCTGCTCCCCCAGGCACCCTAGATAGCAGCTCTCTGCTCGACACAAAGGGCTGTTGTAGCTCGGTGGTTTGTGGTTGCATCAGGAAGAGCATCCATCATAAAAACAATCGCCACATCTTTGTGCAAATTAGTTTGCTGTGGCGACCCGAGGAAAGGAGCAGCCGAAAGAAGAAGCAGCAAAAAGTATGGGTTTCTTTGGGTTTAGTTCAGTTTTAGCTCATCTTTCAATGGTGCCTTGCTGCAACCACATCTGGATCTGAGCCTGCGTTGGAGTCCTTCTCATCAACAAACTCAACTCTCTCATGACACTTTTTTCTCCACATGACCTGAAAAGTTTACAACAATCTAAACTTCATGAGGCATGTTTTGTAAGCTGGGATTATTGACAGTTCTATGAAAGGGTTTGTACCACATGTGGTTAGTTTTCATAGAAAAAGGAATAGTGGAAAAGATCAACTTCTTTAATGGAGATGCTTGGAGCTTTGAGACTTCTGTGGTAACATTCACTGTAAATCTCTTACACTACACGAAACACAAATAGAACTGTTGTTGCACAACATGCACACAATTAATTTAACACACAAATAAAAGTCAAATCTAAAATGCTTTATAAAAGAAAGCTTTGAGTTTAGCGTGATGGAACAGGAACAGTTAAGCAGGATTTTGTGAGTGAAGCCTCACCTGCAGCTCTCTACAGAGGTGCTCCAGCTCCGCTGTGGAGGAGGTGTGTTGGTGAGGAGGAAGAGGAGGCTGCAGTCTGCTGCTCCTCAGGGCCTGCAGCTGGTCGCTCAGCTCCTCCACCCTGGCTGCAGCCATCAGCAGCTCCCTCTGCTTCTGGTGGAACAGGCTGCTCATCTGTTCAATCTCCTCCACTGACACACAAACAAAGTCAGCGTTTCAAGTCAGCCGAGTAAAATATCATGATGTTTTAATCTTGTTTAAAAATGTTATATTTACTTTGAAAAAAGCTCTTGAACAAATAAACTGATGATTGACTTGTCATTTAGGTTACAAAAACAAATTAAGGGAATATTCTAAGATGTATAAAAGATCAACAAAAAATTAACTTTGGTTTCACACTTATGAAGAAAACATTAAGTAATTCATTTCTTATAGTGAATAACGAGAACGTCTGTTCACAGTCAGCGATATGCTGCTGAGATGAAGCTTTCATTTATACACTTTAGATAGCTTGTTCTTTAATACTGCTTTTGAACCATAATTTAAAAAAATGACTGGTTGGTTGATTTTTAGTCATTTTGCACTTTTTATGAATTGACAGTTTCACATTATTTCAGTGAGCTTTGTTTTTTTGTTCTTTTAGTACGAGTAAAATCAAATTCATCAACATATAATCAGTCTTGTTACTCCAAGTGTATCACTGCAGAAATTTCAACAAATGTTAAAAATGCATACTAACAAAAATAATATTAATAATGATAATAACTAAAAAGTTCCTTGAGAAACTTTGATGGGACTGCCACGTTGCGTCCATTTTAAATTTTGATTTGACAGTAATATGTGTTGGGGTTCGCTCTCAGCTACAACCATACCAAATTTCAGCTTGATATGGTAAATTAAAAAAAAGTATGAATTATAGCCATTTTTTTCTTTTAAGCTACGGTGCCCATCATGGATTTTTTTATTTGGATCCAGTGTGTGATGGGAAACGTTCTCAGCTATAACCTCACCAAATTTCTGCACATTATCTTTTAAAATAGCAGAGATTTTTTTTTCTCTTTTATAAGGTGGCCATCTTGGATTTTTAATTTGCATTAAGAAAGTAGAACAACTCGCTCTCAGCTACAACCAAACTAAATTTCAGCTGAATATCATATATTGACTGCGTTATAGTAAATTTGAGTTTTCTAAGGTAGCTGTGGCAGCCATCTTGATCCAAAATGGCTCCAAAAGTTAATCAGTGCCTGTGTCCCAATCCAACGGCTGCATCCTCCGAAGGACCCGGCTTACGTCGACCGGGTAGGCCTGGTCCTTCAAAGACAACGTAGACAGGAAGTCAGCGGCTGTGAATTAGGACGGTCTAATCTTCAGGGTTACGTCGGCGTATGTCCTGTCGCCTAGCAACCGTGACAGTGCTCAACCGATGAAAGAATGGAAATCAAAATTTCGTTGTTGTTTTTACTGCTTTTTTAATTCTAGAGGAAATACAGGAAATTTATCGCTGCTGGCGGCATGTTTTGTATCTTCTGCTGAGAGACAATCATATCCAGGTAACTTGCAATTTTTAGTCTACAAACCTTCAAGAAATTGTGGCGGACACAAATGTATACATTTCACGTCAGAATGTGCTCTTATCGTGAAAGGGACAAAATATAAACGGAGCGGATCAACGGTTGTAATTCATTCGTTTTTTTCTGAGCTTGATGTTGGAAGATGTAGAGAATAAATCGAGACTCAAAATATTTTGTGTGTCTTTCTGCCGACTTCCACATTGGTGACTCTGAACATCTGAACATGTTTTTGAATGAGAACTCACCAGATGCTAAAGCTGCTTCTCCATCAGTCGTGTTTTCAGACCAAGTTTTTTGCCGGGCAGACGTTGCTCCAACCACCGTGGTCTCGTCTCCTGCCACTGCTTCATCTGCTGTGTTTGCGGCCGTTATTAAGCTTCCAGAGTTCTGGCAACACGATCCGGAACCATGGTTCCAGCATGTGTAAGCCCAGTTTCATCTCCGTGGGATAACCACAGACGAGACCAAGTACTTTCACGTCGTTACTGCTTTGGATTCTGGTTCCACCCTCCATCTGATGGGTCTGCTGCGGGACCCACCAAGCACTAACAAATATAGTGCGCTCAAGGAGAACCTGCTGCGGCTTTAACAACTGTTGGACATGGAGTGGGCTGACAGTTTGTTGTCCCTGATTGGTTTGGGGGATTGCAAGGCCTCCGAGCTGATGTAGAAATGCTGGCGTTCCTTGGCTCAGGGGATATTTCCTTCCTTTTTATTCACCTGTTTCTTCGCCAGCTTCCTCCACCTGTTCACACCGCACTGGCCAGCTCCCCGCTGATCCGAACAAAGGATTATCGCTCCCTAGCTGAAGAAGCGGACTGACTTTTGTTGGCTCCCAGGCACTACAGTGTGAAGACACTTTTACCGGGTGTGACTCAAAGGGGGGCGGAGGCTGTTGATGCCGTGGCTGCGGTGACGGAGCGGCGGAAGGACGACGTGCTTTGCTTCTACCACTGCCGGTTTGGAGTAAAAGCGAAGCGCTACATTCCTCCGTGTTCATTCCATGCATCAGGGAAACAAGAGGGCCGGCGCTCGGTAGCAACTGTGTGTGCTGGCTGCTCAGAAAAGCTGCTTTTCATAATGGACGAGGTTTCTGGACGGCGTTTCCTAGTAGACGCGGATGCACAGTGGAGCATTATACCAGCTTCATCTACAGATGCCTTGTATCAAAGTACAAAGTAACTGACCTCCGCTGGACGCTGCTAATGGCACCCTCTTTCAAACTTTCGGATCGAGGTCGGTGACTGTGTGTTTTAACGGACGTCGGTTCCAGTGGGACTTTGTAATAGCTTCTGTGTTTGTACATATTTTGGGCACTGATTTTTTTATGTGCTTTCAGGTTATTAGTGCATGTTGCTAATAGCTACTTAATCAATGCTGTGTCTTTTGATACCTAACCCTATAAACTTGGAGGTCCTGCCCATCAACCTATTGCTAACATGCTTGCCACAGGTGATGAGTATCAGCGTTTGTTGTCAGAGTTTCCTGCTCTGACAGTTCCCACCTTTTCTGCTACCGTTGATAAACATGAGGTGGAACATTTTATCACTACAGTTGGTTCACCGGTTTTTTCACGAGCATGCCACCTAGATACCACTAAGTTAGCAATAGCTAAGGAGGAGTTTGTTAACATGGAGCGTCTTGGCATTGTGAGACGTTCCAAAAGTCCATGGGCATCCCCCTTGCACATGGTGCCAAAGGCTGATTGGGGTTGGCAATTCTGTGGGGATTTTCGGCGCCTTAACAACGCAACCAGTAACGACAGGTACCCATTTCCTCACATTAAGGATTTTTCTGCCCGCCTGGTGGAGGCAACTGTTTTTTCCAAGGTAGATTTGGTGCGGGGCTACCATCAGGTTCCTGTGCATCCCTTAGTTGTACCAAAAACCGCAGTTATCACACCTTTTGGTCTTTTTGAGTTTTTACAGATGCCCTTCGGCCTTAAAGGTGCAGAGCAGACATTCCAGCGACTTATGGATTCGGTCCTGCAGGGTATGCCGTTTTTGTTTGTCTATTTGGATGATATATCGGTGGCTAGTCCCTTGGTGGCAGAACACATAGTGCACCTTCGCCAGCTGTTTGTTCAGCTCAGTGAGCGCGGCCTGATCGTTAGCCCAGTTAAATGCCAGTTTGGTCTGCCTGCTGTTGAGTTCCTGGGACACAGTGTCTGCTCAAGGGGCAGTTCCCCTACCTGCCAAGGTTGAAGCTGTTTTAGTTTTTCCTCACCCTCCCTCAGTGAAGCCCCTGCAGGAGTTTTTGGGGATGGTGAACTTTTATAAATGTTGCATCCCACGGGCGGCTCATCTTATGCACCCCTTGTATGAAGCACTTAGAGGCAAAAAAGGGGACCAGCAAATAGAGTGGACCCCCGAAAGGGTACAGGCATTCGATGATGCCAAAAAGGCTTTGGCTAATGCTACACTTTTGGACCATCCATCTCCAGCAGCTCCTGTGGCTCTGATAACTGATGCCTCTGATTATGCAGTTGGGACAGTTTGTGAACAATGGGTGGATGCCACATGGCAAGCCCTTGCTTTTTTTTAGCAGGAAACTCCAGTATGCTGAAAAAAAAATAGGACCTTTGATAGGGATCTGCTCGCTCTTTTTCTGGCAATGCAGCATTTCCGGTTCATGTTGGAGGGCAGGGACTTTACTGCTTTTGTTGATCATAAGCCTCTCACTTTTGCTATGGCAAAAGTGCCTGAACCATGGTCGCCACGGCAACAAATGTATTTGTCTGCCATTTCGGAGTTTACTACGGACATTCAGCATGTAGCTGGCAAGAAAAACCTGGTGGCTGACTCCATAGGAAGGGTTGCTTCTTTGCCTTTAGGAGTTGATTACCTCGCCATGGCCGCAGACCAACTGACAGACTTGGGTATTCTGGCCTTTAAGGCAGCCAAATCCAGTTTGCATTTGAAGGAAGTTTCATTTCATGAGTGTGGGGCAACCCTTCTTTGTGATGTCTCGACAAGCAAGCCTCGACCTCTGGTTCCTAGTGGTTGGCGTCGGCGGGTTTTTGATGCAATTAATTCCCTTTCACACCCGGGGGTGAAAGCATCAGTTAAACTGGTAGGGGCAAAGTTTGTGTGGCCATGGCTCCTTAGAGATGTACATACATGAGCAGCTTTCTGTTTAGCTTGCCAGTGTGCCAAGGTGCAACAGCACACTAAGGCTCCACTGGAACGGTTTCCTATTCCCCAAGGGAAGTTTGAGCATGTGCATGTGGATTTAGTGGGCCCACTTCCACCTTCCAGAGGTTTTACCCATCTCTTAACTATGGTGGACAGAACCACTCAGTGGCCAGAGGCAGTTCTGCTGTCATCAACCACTTCGATAGATGTGGCTCGGGCATTTATCTCTTCCTGGGTGTCCCGATTTGGTGTGCCATTGGACTTAACTTCTGACAGGGGTTCCAAGTTCACCATCAGAGTTGTGGACTGCAGTGGCAGAGAGCCTTGGGGTTAAACTCCACCGTACTATTGCTTACCACCCGCAGGCTAATGGTCTTTGTGAGAGGTTTCACTGCCCAATGAAGGCTGCATTGTGGGCCTCATTGGTGGATAATGGTTGGATGGGTCACCTGCCTTGGGTTTTGTTGGGCCTGCGTTCAGCTCCTAAAGAGGACCTGCGGGTTTCTTCAGCTGAATTGGTACTTGGCCAGCCTTTGAGGGTACCAGGGGAGTTTCTTCCAGGTCCAGAGAGTTCAGTTGCTCCCAAAGGGAGTAGGGTGGTCCTAACAGGGGGAAATACACCTGTGGCCCCATTGGCAGCACATCACTGCCTTCCACAGGTGTTTGTGCCGAAGGACCTTATGTCGGCCGAGTATGTATTTATCCGCCATGACGCACACCGTTAACCACTTCAGCCTCCTTACGATGGTCCATTTCGTGTTTTGGAGTGGGGACGTAAAAAAAATTTGGTGGAGTTGAGGGGTAATCTTAGAGAGTGTTTCGGTGGATCGTTTGAAACCGGCTCATGTGTTGTCGGGGGACCCGGTTGAGTTGGCTCACCTCGTCATGGCCGTCACCCAGTTTCTTTGCCCACTCGTCCAGGTTTTCCTCCTACAGCTGGGTTACCTCCCTCAAGTGAACAGTTAAGTGGTAGTCGGTCCAGAGAGTCTCCTTCACTTTCAACCCCTGTAGCTGTGAAGAGCAGCCGTGGTGGCCGCCTTATCAAACTACCTAGTTGTTACCGTTGTGTATTTCATTTATTTATTTTTTTGGTGTGTGTTTTACACCTGTAATGCATTTCACAATTTGTGTTTTTGGTGTTTGTGACATTCTGTGTGTTCAGGGGCGGGCCTGTGTGGCAGACACAAATGTATATATTTCACTTCAGAATGTGCTCTTATTGTGAAAGGGACAGAATATAAACAGAGCGGATCAACGGTTGTAATTCATTCGTTTTTTCTGAGCTTGATGTTGGAAGATGTTGAGAATAAATCGAGACTCAAAACATTTTTCGTCTCTTTCTGCCGACTTCCACAGAATGACTTAATTTCAGCTAGTTTCATGGATAATTTCAGTGACTGACAGACTAATGTATTAACTTGTGCATAATAAATAAAATCTAAATTTATCTTGTTAAATTATTAATAATTTAAATTTTTTTTATATATCATAATCTTTAACTTGTCTTAAATTTGGAATACAGCATAACATTTTCCAATATTTTATTTTATAAGATCCACTGGTACATAAAGTGGGTGTAAAAATGTTAAAAACAAGTCTTTCGTTTCTTTTATTTCATTAATAAAATAGCACTGAAGTGTTTTCACTGAGCATCAGTATATTTACCTTAAGCCTCATAATTGTGATAACGCTATGATATCTTATAAAAAAATAAAATCAAATTAAAATTAAACTAATAATGTTTTTGTTGTTCTCTACATTTCCTTAACCAGACCAGATCCTTGTACTGCAGGATTAACCTGAGTGTCCCAGTCCTGGACCGTTACTTTAAACAAGAAGATCGCAGGCTGGATTTCCGATGAAGCAGGGAGTCTCTGGTGGTGTTGCTTCATCTCCTGGACCTGGAGCTACAACATGGTTGTGGGGCGACAACTGAGACCCTGGTGTTTCTTTTCTGGCTGGCAGGTGGAGCATCCTGCAGGGCGCTCACAGGAGTGTTTGTGACGCCTCGTTCACTCGTCCACTGCATCGTCCATCATATGACAGAAGAAGTGTCCATTCACTACCAGGTCATCCACCTGCCTGAAAACCCAGAGGATCTGGAGGTGGTGTCCCGTGGGTTTGCAGGACTGGCACGTCACAGAGCCTTTTGTTTTTGTTTTGAATGAACTTACTGTTAATAAAATGAATTACTGACTATACTAGTTTTTATAATCACTTTATTTTTCAAATTTAAAACAAACAACAAATTTTTCAAGAACATAAAAAAACAACCATCAATTAATTTATTTGCAATTCTTTCTTTTCTCCATTCTCTCCATACTTACATTTGCTCTTCTCTCTTCTGTTTCATATCTTCTGATTAATTGAAACAAATCATCCTCTCTGTCCTGCCGCCTCTTTCTTCCCCGTCTCCACCCCTCTCTTTGTCCCTCAGCCCTGTCTTCCTGGTCACCCACTGCTGCTCTTGGACCTGGACTGTCCTCAGTGATGGAGACAATTAGGACGGGAGGTGCAGTGGAAGGTCTCTGTCCTAAAACCTCATCCATGAGGACAAACCAGGGCCAAGTCGCAGCAGCTTCCCACTAACTCCTTCTCCTGACCCGCCTGGATATTTGCAGTCCTGAACAGAGGAAATAAGACAATAAGTTGGTAATAAGAGCAACAACCATTGTTTTAACTTTACATGTATTAACATCTGCACGTACAAATTATATTCTTCATTACACATGCACATACTTTGTATTTATTTTTTAAGTTTGTCCCGTTTATTTTTTGCCTGCAAAGGAGTTACCTTCTCCTGCACACCCATCTTCTCCAAAATTATCCTACTGACATGAACATAAAATGAATGAAGAGGGGAAACATGGAAAATAATGTCTTAGAAAAACTACAGTTTTCACAGCACAGCACAAGAGGACCTGTACTTCATTAAGATCGCAGGTTATGTACAGTACGAGGGTAATGAAACTGAATAAATTGATTCATTCTTGTACCTTCATGCCACAGCTGCAAAGTGTTTTGTACTCCTGAAAATGTGGCTGTTCTCATTCTGAAGCTTAATAAAAGCTTCGGTCTGCTCCTTGCTCCCTAAAAAAAAAAAATAATAATAATTAGCTTAGCGGCGATGGCACTACGGGCTGATCTCCGACAAAAAATAATACAAAAGAATGTCTACTGTTGATATTTTCTGGGTTATTAATATAAAAGTTTGATATGTTTACACAAATTACAGTTTACTTTAAAATGATAATTAAAGTGTTTGCCTGCAGTTTTAGCTCTGAGTCTCAGAAAGGATCAGTACTTTGTGGAAATGAAAACATTGATTTGTTCATCAATTTTATCATCACTCTTATTAGTCATTTACTTTATATCACACTCTGTTAAAGCTTATCTAAAACTGTAGCAGCTGTACCCCTTCAACATCAGTGTGAAACCTTTTAACTTCCGTTTCTCAAACCCAGCTCCAGAACCAGTCACTGACCACAAACGTACTGTCTGTTTTTACTCTGATAAGATTGCAAACGAGCGCCTGTTGTGTCAAAACATGTTACGTGTGAAGGTGTATAAATGAGACTGTATTGCTCATGATTTTAGAGAACACACAGAACTCCTAGGCTGCGTGCTCGTTCATGTGTTCTCTCCTTCTGCAGAAGAGAAATAAACCTTGCTACGTGTTTTTCAACAAAGTTCTCAGTCTGCTAAATTTTATTGAACAACAAAGTTTGATAAAACTCCACACTACGCAAATGACAAAAGCCTATCATCCACTTTAAAACATAACCGCTTTAGGCTTTTATTTTTTTTATCCCACATTTTAACATACTTACATTTAAAAGTGTACTCGGTCGCTGCTTCGTCCGCCATTACGTCCAGAATTTTCCGTATGCCTGCAATGCATCTTGGGACAGGGTGGGCTGCGTAGGATACACGGGACTGGCCTTCAAATCGGGGAAAAGGAGGCCGCATTGAAGGAGTCTTCGAATTGGGACAGGCCTCGCGCGTCGCTGTGACGTAAGCAGCCTTCAAATTCGGCCTTCGAAGGATGCGGCCGTTGGATTGGGACACAGCTTGTGTTTTGTTCAGATATTTCTTTTCTCTAGGTCATGTGACCTCACTGTGGCAGTTAGAGGCTGTTCAAAGTCTATAAGTGATTTTTAATTAGAAAAATGGCATCTTTGTTTGCGAATTATGTTGCCATGGTAACTCAAATTGCCAGTAAAAGTAATAGCGCACATCACGGCGTTGAGCTGGTCGTTTTGATATAAATTTGTGGGTGCACATTGCGGTTGGGGCCACATTAAAGTTGACAGAAGATCAAGACCCTTTTCAGGTGGATAGTAAGAGGTGGCTGACCTTCTAGGAAGTCCTTAATGACAACAGTACAACCCGCTTCTGACCTAGTTTGTTGTTGCTGAGGCGTTTCTGCTCCACCTGGCCCCTGAGGGCCCGGACCCGCCTCAGTTTGGCCTCCTGATTGTGTGCGTTCTCTCGAAGCTGTCGCAGTCGCTCCTGTTCGGGCAACTCCTGACGCTGCTGCGGTCTCTGGTCCTGCAGCTGCAGGTAGTGCAGCTGCTGCTCCTGCAACACGCAGCAAAGACACTTCATCAGACATGAAATGGTGCTGATGTAACGGAGAGATGGTGACATGACACCTATTCTGTATAAAAACAAGTTTACTTGGCGCTCATACAACACTATTATATATTTGTACTGTTTTTACTCCCAAAATGAAACTGTGGTCTTTCATTTTCTAATTAGAAAAACACGTAAAAACATAAAAAACAGCTTTTATTTAGTTAAAATCCTGTCTAAATAAATTATTCTTCAGCTGCCTTCCATCCGTCATCTTTACCCGCTTCTTCCTTTTCAGGTCACAGGGGTCATTGGTGTCCATAACCAGCAGTCACTGTATGAGAGGTGGGGGACACCCTGGACAGGTCTCCTGTCCATCACAGGGACACATAGAGACAAACAACCATTCACTCTCTCTCTCTCACCTCGGGACAATTTAGAGTTACCGATCAGCCTAACATGCATGTTTTTGGTCAGTGGGAGGAAACTGGAGCACCCGGAGAAAACCCACGCAGCACAGAGAGAGCATGCAAACTCCACCCAGAAAGGCCCCCCGGCCAGGATTTGAACCAGCAACTTGCTCGTTGAGAGTTGGCAGCTCTACCAACTGAGCCACCATTCAGCTGCTTTACAAATAAATCAATATGATCAAGGGAACATCAAGCTAGAGGCAACACATTCCATAATCTGCTGGCCACAGCTTTAAAGAATCTGTCTCCTCTGGTCTTAAGTTAAATCCTTGGCACCAGCAGCAGCTTTGGTCCAGAAGATCTCAAACTAAGAGACAATATGGAGTTTTCAAAGGTTGAAGAAGGAACAGAAACACGCCGTTTTAAAAGTGACAAAACTTTTGAAACAAATGCTAAAACACACAGTAACCAGTGCAAAAAGACAAACCAGTGTAATGTGTTGTCTCTTTGTTGTGTTTGTTAAAAGTCCTCCAGCAACAGTCTAAACTGACTGATGACAGCAAGGCTCCTTTTTCAACAACAAAACTTAGGTCCAAATGAGAAGAAAGCCTGGATTCTCATCTCTACTTTAGAATTTGACACCAGAGATTGAAGTTTGTTTCTCAACTGGAAGAAGCTGTTTTCTAACGAACGTTCTGGAGGGACCCAATAATTCTCAGTCGAGTCATCTGGACAGTTTCTTTTTTATAGAGATGTTTCGTCCTCTATCCAGAGGGCTTCATCAGTCTGAGGAGTTCCTGTAAACTGTTTCCTCACCAAGCAGTAAACACCTCAAGTGGACCAACCAATTTGCTGGAGCTAAGATGGTTTCTGGGGGCCGTCCTGTCCGTTGTCGACTCCTTCCCGGCAGGCAGCCACAGACAAAGTGGTTCAAGGAAACAAAGTTCATGCTCAATCATCCAGGTGTCAAATCCAATAATTCTCAGTCAGGTCACCTGGACAGTTTCTTTTTTGTTTTGTTTTGTTCTGGAAGGACGCTCCAAACACACAGCAGGGACAAAGACAACTCCGAGGTTTACCGGGCTCAGATGGACAGACAGGCTCAGAGCACCAAGGTATCGCCTGAATTCAGAAAAACAGTTTTCAGGACCAGGTTTCCGTCTTAGTGAGGTTCAGTTGAAAGTAAAGTAGTTGTCGTAAACTAGTTAGACATTTTATCAAGTGTGACAATTTTAGTCAAGTACCAGTAGAACTCAGTTATAAACGTATTTGTTTTTGATAATGTCCGTTGGCTGTAGCGGCCATCTTGAATGCGGTTGGCTCCAAACAATCATATTTAGCTGTACATCTAATTACTTTCTGAAAGTTGAAAAAAAAAACTGCTCAGTGGTTCGTGAGACATTTTGCTAACAGTCAGACAGGGCTGACTCCAGTTACTGGCAACATTTTTAACTAAACTCTTGCACATTCAGTTACTGCTCAGAAAACGTGCTGTGGATCAACTACAGCTGCTACTACTAAAGTATTAGTAAGCATCTGTCAAACTAACTGAGTTAAATCCTTTGTTTTTTAGTCAGGTGGCTTTGGGCAATCTGAAATCAGGGTCACTCCAAAAGTTAAATTAGTTGATGCACATCTAATAAATACTTTCTATATAATTTGGCCAATGGTTTACAACATTTTTCAGTAACAGACATGTCGCATACAAATACAAAGGTACTGTCCACACTGTAATTTTCCTGGTAAACACATCAGCGTTTCTAAAAATGTTTTCATCCACACGGAAACACTGAAAATGATCCAAATGCTGCAGTTACTATGCCAGGCCTGTATGTGGTGCTGTAAAGTAGCCATGAAACAAACAAACAAACAAACTGTAAACACAAAAAGAACAAGCGTACCACATATGCCACATTCTATGTTCGTCAACAAACTATTATACAGCAATACTGAAAAATCTATAGCAATGGTCCATACAAGCAAAAATCTTGTATATAAGTTTACCTTTATTTGTGACCTTGTCCTTAAAGCTGGGGTGATGAAAAGATTATGTGACACACTGTTTAGTGGTGGGACAAATTTGTATCAAGTTTAGTTAAATTACCTTGAGCCGATCAGAAGTTATGGGCAGGACCCAAGAGAAAGTTTACGTACGTACAGACGAAAAAAAAACTATACTATAGTATGTCCGCCTTTCGATGGGCATATAAAAGACAAGAATGGTAAATACATGAGTAAACAACAAAGCTTTTTGAAGACTGAGGACAAAGTAGAAATTCACTTTATGTCACGTTAAACTACTATTGACTGGAAGTCGAAAAAAAAGGCCAAAAAGCAAGTGGTCACCTGGATTTAACTAAGCAAATAGGTACGAGCCTCCTATAGGATAATTAATGCATGGGTGATTATCTTTCAGCTGACAACGAGTCATTAAACCCTAACTGGTGCAATGAGTTGCTTCTAATTTCTGAAACAACCATGTCGAAAGACACATCACGTGGTCGTGGAAACGATGTCAGTCTATTTGAGAAGGGTCAAGTCATTGGCGTCAAGCAGAGAAAACATCTAAGGAGATTGCAGAAACTACTAAAATTGGGTTAAGAACTGTCCAACACATATTAAAAACTGTAAGGATAGTTGGGACCCATCGTCTTCCAGGAAGAAATGTGGCTGGAAAAAACCCTGAATGATCGTGATCAGTGATCACTTAAACGTTTGGTGAAATCAAATGGAAGAAAAACAACAGAAGCACTCAGGGCTGTGTGTAATAGTGAAAGTAAGAGCATAACCACACGCACAATGCAAAGGGAGCTCAAGGGATTGGGACTGAATAGCTGTGTAGCCTTAAGAAAACCTCTAATCAGTGAGGCTAACTGGAAAAATTTGCTTAAATTTGCTAGAGAGCATAAAGAATGGACTCCTCTGGAGCAATGGAAGAAGGTCATGTGGTCTGATGAGTTCAGATTGACCCTGTTCCAGAGTGATGGTGCATCAGGGTAAGAAGAGAGGCAGGTGAAGTGATGCACCCATCATGCCTAGTGTCTAGTCATCAATGCAAGATCTTGGTGAAAATCTAAAAAAAGTTATATCTGGTCCTCTGGACATTCAAAAAACAAAACAAAGCAAATCTTGGTGAAAAATGAATGCAACACTGGATGGAAATAGATCTTGTGACATTGCAGACGCTTATCGAAACAATGGCACAGTGAATGCCTGCTGTAATCAAAGCTAAAGGTGGCCCAATGAAATATTAGTTTGTGACTTTTTTTTTTGGTGGTGACTTTTTTTTGGGCCAGGCAGTGTACAATGACGACAACACATTGCAGGGATTGTGCTCCCTGGTGGTGCGTCTCGGCCCTGCTCCTCTTGTCATTACACCTGTTTTTCCTACACCTGTGTTGCCTCACAGGTGTTTTGTGTTTAACCCTAATCAGTGTTTGTATTTAAGTCTGTGTCTTTGTGTTCATCGTTGTCCTGGCATTGTTTCCTGTTGCCTCTCTCCTGAGTTTCCAGTGATCCATGAAGTTTACTGCCCTGTCAGCTTTTTTTTTTTAATTAAACATTATTATTTTACCTATCGAGTTGTCGTGCTGCCTGCACCATTGGGTCTGAACCACACCAGAATGTGATGTACATAGCACTTTACTAAGCGTGCAGGTGAAATTTATACATCTTACACAAAGTTCTCTTTAGACAAGGCAAGGGTGACTTTGCTTCCAAACCCTGCTTTTGAGCCTAAAGTGTTGGGATCCTACTCTCCAATTGAGTTAGTGGCTTTCAATCCCCCTCCTTTTTCCTCTGAGGAGCAGGACAGGTTGCACAAATTCTGACCCGTACACATTTTGCGCATCTACTTGGACAGAACTAAACATGTTAAGAAAAGTGACCAACTGTTTTGTCTCCTAAGTTAAGAAACATTTGGAAAGCTGGTAATAATGTGTCGTTTTCCAACTGGATCACAGGTGCAATTGCCTTAGCCTATAGTTCAAAAGGACTGCAGCCTCCAGAGGACCTGCGTGCCCATTCTACTAGAAGCTTAAGCTCTTCATGGGCCCTGCTTAAGGGAGCATCCCTTCAGGAGATTTGTGCCACAGCAAGCTGGGCTTCTCCTCACATGTTTGCTCAGTTTTATAGACTTGATGTCACAACATCATCTCTGGCTCATTCAGTACTCAATGTAGCACTAAGTGCACAGGAGTTGAAAATGGCTGGCAGGTAACATAAAATCTGCTGAGCAATACGGTAGTCAGTATTTTTTTGTTCCCAATGTGAGACAAGAAACGAATGCTATGAAAGAAAACTTTAGGTTACTGTTGTGAGCCTGGTGCTCTGGGTAGCATGATTTTACTCACTCGCGCTACTCAGAACCGGCGTTACGACAGTAACCTCAAGTTTTAAAGTGCATTAGGAAAATGGTTAATCTGCTTTATTCCCAGGTCAAATTACTCTGTATTTTTCTGCTCTGTCTCAGGCAGGGTTTGATTGCAACAAGACACAAGTGTAAATGTTCATTTTACTTGAGTGTTGAGCTGTGAAAGTGGACATAGTTCATTTTCTCTTCGCAGAAAAATGTTTGTTGTGTGTGTGAATTGTAAAGTGCTTTAAAGAACCTGGAGAGGTAAGAAAACGTGTATTTAAATGTGGACGTTTACATTAAGTATATATTTCAAAACGAGATTTGTTTTATATATAAATGTATGTTCCCATGCAATGACGAAATTAGGTCTCTACAAATGGACTGCACATATATAGCGCTTTTCTATCTTATCAAGATACTCAAAGCTCTTTACAACACAATCTGTGTCCTCATTTACCCATTCATACAGCACTCTACTATATCTTTACAAAGAATAATCAGAGCTTTATCACATTCATACACCGATGGGACACACATCGGAGGCAATGAGGGGGTTCAGTGTCTTTCCCAGGGACACTTCGGCATGTGACTGCTGGTAGAATAGACCTCCAAATCTTTCATTGGAGGACGACTGCTCTAACCACTCAGTCATTGCTGCCCCACATTAAATTTATTGCTCTTTTTTTCTAACAACAAGAAAATCTCCTCTTGTAGGAAAAGAGTGGCTTTTCCCAGTTCTTTTGACTGAATCACTCCTTTGAAAGGTGGGGGGACTGCAAATTGTAGTCTCTATCCCCATTTTATAGTTTTCGAGATCCACTCAGAGTTTGTGCATTGGCCCATTTTGCTTTCACTTTCATACAAACAGCAGACTGGCCAGTCTGTCAAACATGAGGGGAGACTGACCTCCAGTGGTGCGGGGTGATAGGAGTGTCGAGGACATTATCCTTCTCTTTTGTGGAAAGAGCGGTGAGATTCCTTAGATAGAGAACTTTACTAATTGGCTTTTCTACATATGTGAATGTTCCTGTAAACTGCCCTGAGACAATCCAACAATTTTCAGTCAGGTCATCTGGACAGGTTTTTTTTTTTTTTTTTTTTCTGAAACGTTTCGCCTTCCATCCGGAAGGCTTCATCAGTCAAGGAAAAACACAACAAAACTGATTCTTCCCCCAAACATTTTTTTTCATTTACCCTTTATTTATACAGGTAGTCTCATTGAGCCACGAGAACTCATTTTCAAGAGACAGCTTACTCCAAAGTGGAACAAACCAGTTATGTTGGTGCTAAGATGGTGTCTTTGGCATGCCCCCTCCTCTGGAGCCGGCCCTCTTCCTCGTCGACAGTCATGTCAAACTGGTTCAAAACCAAAAAAAAAAGAGGAGGGGGTGTGCCAAAGACACCATCTTAGCACCAGCATAACTGGTTTGTTCCACTTTGGAGTAAGCTGTTGGGGGAAGAATCAGTTTTGTGTTGTGTGTTTTCTTGACTGATAAAGCCTTCCGGATGGAAGGTGCAACGTTTCAGCAAAAAAAAAGAAACTGTCCAGATGACCTGACTGAAAAATGTTGGATCGTATACCTGGATTATTGAGCATGGACTTTTTTTGCCCTGAGACAACTTAGTTGTGATTTGGCGCTATATAAAAAAACTGAATTTAACTTAATTAAATTCAGCCACCTGGCCCTCTCCTGCAGAACCATCAGCCCCATGGTTCTGCCCAGAGCCTGGATCACCACCTTGCTGGGGACAGTGATCTTTGATGATGCAAATGTTATCCCATAATACAGCGTCTGATGAGGTGGTCATCTACTTCTCCAGCTCTGCTTGGTATGCCATGAGCATGGAGGAGGCATTCAGAGCACGGACTGACAGCGCAGCAGTTTTATATGATTTTTCTGTCAGGCTGGACTGAAAGTGGTCCGCTCTGGAGTGGGGAGCGGGGCCACCTGCTAACATGGACATCTTTGGGTGCAGGCGAGCCGCAATCACCGGCTCAACTGGAGACATTTGGTGGAGATTGTACTTTTTCTTGTCCACCCAGTCCAGCATTGAGCTTCCTGCCACTGGATGATTCTCTTTAAAGGGCTTGTTGCACCAGGAAACAGATGGCTCTTCCAGCAGCTCTGGGAAAAACATCAGGAGTTGTTTGCTTGTTTTCTTCACTTTGGGCCGTTTTTTCCATCAAAACGTGAGCGAACTGCCTCAGCTTAGACTTCAGGCCACTGGATGTCAAGCTTTGCAGCGGCTCGTTTGCACACATCGTGCAGATCGAAATCCATTTCAGGTGAGGATGAGTTTTCATGACCGGGTTGGCCCGTGCCCGAAAGAGCGGGTTTTGCAACCTGACCTGAGGGCTGGAGAGATGGGTCATAATCCTCGTCCTCATCCGAGTAGAACAGCTCCGACTCCCCATCTGAAAGCTCATCTCCTGTCATCATAAAGTAGAGTGAGCTCAAAGTGAGACCCTGCTCCATCGATTCAGATGGCAACAGGTCCAGAGCTCCAACTAGTTCCAGCTTCCAGTTCAGTAAACTGCAAACCCGGCAGTCAGCTCGGTTCTGCTCAGTAGCTGTCAAAGCCATCACTGGGTCTCTGCTGGACAATGTCGACTGACGGGCCAGATGGCAATGGAGCACCTTGAGGGAGAACCAGCTTGTAGTGCGAGCGCTCCTCCGCAGACTCGAGTTCAGCCTGTGCGTGTTTCAAACCGAAGCACACCACACATGATGGGTGGGTGTCCCAGTTGAAATTTTACTGCCACATGGTCAGGTTCGTGCCTGTGGGCTCTCCTCTGGTTTTGTGGAAGCCCTGATGGTCTCCGTGTTCCAGAGAGATTTGTCTGTAAAGCTACGCATAACATACAGTGAGAGATGCAGTAGTTAGCTTTTTTAAAAGAAGTATTTCTATTGTCTTAACTATATTGCTACTGATGAACAGCCACTCTGTGTGGTGCTGTGCTGACCCAGAGCAAAGCGCCCAGCGACTGAGCTTGCACGCTCGTCTACGAACAGTTTAGCTAATCCCCGATAGAGACAGTACCTCAAGAGAGCTGGGAGGAACCTCTGTTCATTGCGAGGAGGTTTTTGAATGAACTGTCAGTGCAGCGTCAGCCCTATTTATAGGGGGAGGGCCCCAGGGAGGGCCCCACCCCCCACCCTCCTTGATACTGACAGGTTTAATTCCAGCCAATCCTGGCTGGTGTCATGTAAAAGGAGTTTATGATGAGGTCACGCCAAGGGCGTTCCCAACATGAGACACGAAACACATGCTATGAAAGAGAACCAAATGTTAGCAGTTTAAGAGCTTGTTTAACGTGTGGTAACATAAGCAGCAAGCAGGAAAAGTAGCTTTCACTGTATTTCATGATTTTTCAAGAAACAATTTCAATTTCATTGCTGTTTTATTGTTTGCTGAATTATTACAGACAACAGCACTAAATTAGGTAATAAGAAATTTACAGTAATTTCTAAATACTGTTACAGGATCATTAGAAACAGACTGGATGTACCTTTGAGGCCAGCAGGTGCTGCTGGGTACTGATCTGCTGCTGCTGGAGGGAGGCCAGACCCTGCAGCTCGCTCAGAGTTGCATCCGATTCCAGACACGGAGCTGATCCCTGCAGAGCATAACGTATGAGTTCACTTCTCATTTATCTTTAAAGTTCCCTTGTTGTTCTTGTTTTGTTTTTTTAGAGGAGTGATTTCCTCTTACAGAGACCATCTACAGAGGTCAGATCTACCATTTCATTTGGTATTAAAAAAACTCTCACCCCATTTTCTAGAGATCTCTCTGTGGAGAGATCTCTAGACTTCACTTGCTTCCTTTTCATCATCTGATCTGCAGCTCTGCACCCACCTGGAAACAAAAGCACAGTTAGAATCCGTGCTGATCTTTGGGTTGTTTCAGTCATTCCCCTGGTGTGAATCCAAAGACGTGTTTGTCTGTTGTTTCATCATTTCAATACAAAATAAACAGTCTGCATTAAAAAAGCACTGTGAACTTGGGATCTGGATCTCAACAATGATCTCAAGAATCAAAACTGTACTTTTGTCAGCTTAGGTAAACCTCGGAAAAAGTACTTGTCATTGTATCACAGCAATGTTGAAACAAATCTCAATCAAGTGAAAAAGAACCAAATAAAGCACTGCCATGAAGCAGCTGATTCCCTCCACTACTAGTAAGCTGATTACTGCCTGTGATCTACTGTAAATACACACGGAAGCTCCTCTCTGAAGCCAGCTGTTGGAGAAAAATATCCTCGCTTTATCTCACTTACTCAAAACGAGACACACTCGATGAAAGGACAAGATTTTAACCGGTTTTACTTGCAAGGACAGATTTTCAGGACAGGTTACACAGATATACAGGAAGTAAACACAGATATACAGGAAGTACACACAGATATACAGGAAGTACACACA